ATTTTTTAAAAATAGCTTGTAACTACAGCTTGGATTCAGAAAGAATTGATAAAAACTGAGTGAAAAGTATTGAAAATTATTCTAAAACTTAGGAAATAAAAAGTAGTTATTTGTTAATCTTCCTTACATCAATTTTTGTTATTTAAATAAGTTTATAACTGTGAGTCACTATTGTTCTAAACTTATTCAAGCGAAAGTCCAACTAAATCACACAAAAAATTATATAAAAATAGAATTCTGGCACCATCTGGTGGCCGTACTCTGCAACAGCAGGTTCTAATTTTATTTTATTTTTTTAAGTTACTTCACTCATTCATTTACCAACTATCTAATAGGCAAATACTGGGCATAGTACACACACCTTTTTTATCCTTCCCGGAAGACAGGAAATAAGATATAGTTCCATATCTAAAACAGGGTTTTAGATCTTTAAGGAAAAAAATTTACAGTTAAATTTATGACTATCGGCATGTAAGAGTGCTCCTGTTTAGAAGTCTGCTTAAAGTATCCACACCCCTGTGACTCTCAGGTAAGAAGTCCCTCAGGAGTGTATTGGTAAATGTAGTCTATCAATTCACCACATCAGGACCAGTGAGCAAACCAATGCAGTTTTCAAGGAAAAGAACTGGTTTTTAAATGTCTTCAAATCCTTTCCTGATACTTCTTCCTTCAAAAGTAGAGCCTAATTTCCCTTTCCTTGAACTTGGGCTGGACTTACTGACTCACTTCTAATGAAGACAATGTGGCAGAAGTAATGATGTGTAACTTCCACAGTCAAATCATCAAAGGCATGGCCACTTACATCTTGCCTTCTTTTGGATCATCCATCCTGTTGCAAGTCACCCCTCATGTCATGAGAAGGCTCAAAGCAGCCTGGGAAGGAACTGTGACCTCCTGTCAACACCAGCACCAACTTCCCAGTCCTGAGTGAGTCCCCTTGGAAACAGCCGCCAGCCCCACCAAGCCTCCAGACACCGCGTTCCTCGCCAAGGTCACCAAGCTAGGCCATTCCCAAAGAAACAAAACCAGTATGTGCTCTTTGTTGTTTGAGCCGGTTAGTTTTGAGGTAATTTGTTATGCAACAGTATATAATAAGATCTATCACTTCCTGGAACCCAATTCTATCCTCAACAGGAAATAAATACAGCCCATTTCAGTTTAACTCTGTAATTTTCCCACGTGTCAATAAAATTTCAAATTTTCTTTCCTAATACACTAAGTCAGTGATTCTTTTTTAATTCCTCCAAATTGTTTAATATTATTTCATAATATTCATCTCTTTCCAAGTTAATTCAAACAAACAGCAACCAAAGCAGACCAGTCAGTCAACAAGGATTTTTTTTAATATCTTTTTGCAGAGCAACTATACTAGACACTGAGTAGAAAACCATGTCCTGGGTGTTTATAATTTAATTCACATTAATATTCAAGGAAGAACGTGTTTTTTTAACTAAAGTTTTTCCCCTGCTCTGAAAGTAATAGTTTAATGAAAGAAGGTTCGGAAAGTGTCTCCTTTACCTCTGTGAGGGATCCGCAAGCCACACCACCATGCAGGGCTCCATCCAAAGCGGAGAGGGTTGTAGGTAAGAATGCTGGCGAGAGGGCAGCAGACCTCTGTGCCTTTATCTCACAAGCCTGAATGAGAAAAAGATTAATTTCTTTTCAACGTCCATCTCTATTCAAAAACATAAACCAACTCCAAACCTCAAATTGTAGCAGTTAGAACGCCAGTTCCATCTTTCCATCCTCTATAATCTGTTTGTTCGACAAATATTTATCTTTGCCAGGGAATGAACTAGATTATAGGGATATGATTCAACAGACAGAACCCCTGCCCTCACAGTACTTATAGTCATCCATCAGGACTAGAAACTGGGCAATTCCTATATAATTAATAAGAGATACTGTGAGAGGGAAAGTGGAGACATAAAGACAGTACACCTGACCTGGACTGTATAATCCAGGAAGACTTCCTGGAAGAGCTGGACTAAGCTAAAATCTGAAATAGCTGTTGGACAAGCAAAGAAAGTGTTCATGTTCCTGCCAAAGAGAAAATGTACAAAGAAAGGTCAAGAAGCAATAAAAGGAGGAATGGAAACTAACGAAAACTACAAAAAATAAAGACTTCATTAAGAACAGCTGACAGATGGTGTGTGGTTGAGGTGTGAAAAGCAATGAGGCTGGAGAAATAAGCAGGGGCCAAATCATAAAGAGCCTTGTTGAAGTTTAGAGTTTACGGTGAGAGCAACAGAATGACATGATCAAGTTGTCATTTCCAACCGAGGTTGCTTTGTGAGGAATGGCTAAAAGGCAGGTGTGGTAGGCTGAGAAATATCCACGTCCAACCCTTGGAACCTGGGAATGCTACCTTATTTGGAAAAAGGACCTTTGCAGATGTGATTAATGTGATTACCTGCCCACTAGTAACGTATGAGTATGCTTGCCTCTTGCAATCTCTACCATTAAAGAGTTCATTTTTATTAATGAAATTTTATGAATGAAACGAAATCATAAAAATGCATTCATTCAATAAACTAGAGGGCCTACTGATGCGATATACTATGATTAACTCTGGAAATACATGGTAAACCAAATAGACAAAGTCTACCCACTTAAAGTTTACAATTTAATAAATCAATATCTCAAATCCAAGGCTCTTCTGCCCCTGGGAGGATGTAGGAAGACCAACATATTAACATTTATGAGCCATATATGTGCCCACTCTTCTCTAACTTTACCTATTGAATTCTTATTTTAGTTAAACCATGGATTAAGACGGATTTTTTTTTAGGCTATATTCAGGCACATAAAATAATTAGAAAAACAACAGTCAAAGTTGTATGGCTTACATCTGATTTAAAAATACATGAATATTATCCACAATCCATAATCAGGCAACTTGGGTGGACATGGGTGGGGATACTTTGTCCAATATGTAAAGGCAGCCCCATCTGTCAGCATCAAAGTGCTTCACTTGCAACTACAAGTGTAATTTTTAGAATAATAGATTTGTGACTCTCTTTTTCTAAAAAAAGAGAACAAAATAAACTAAAAGAAAAAGACTCCAGAAATAACATTACGTACATAAATGAGACAGAGTAATACGGTGATATGACATCCCGCCAGCTTTTCTTCTACTTTGGTGCTTGCTTCCTCTCAGACTCAGCATTGTCTAAGCTCATCTTTAAATGTTGGCTTCACTCGCCTGGCCAGCATGGCTCAGTGGTTGAGCGTTGACCTATGAACCAGGAGGTCACGGTTCGATTCCCAGTCAGGGCACATGCCTGGGTTGCGGGCTCAATCCCCAGTGTGGGGTGTTGTAGGAGGCAGCCGATCAATGATTCTCTCTCATCATTGATGTTTCTCTCTCTTCCTCTCCCTTCCTCTCTGAAATCAATAAAAATACTTTTAAAAAATAATAATTAAATAAATAAATGTTGGCTTCACCCAGGACTTGGTCTTGGCTATACTTACCTTCTAACTATAAAAACTTCCCAGGGAATTGCTCATGCATTCCCTTGGCTTTGACTACCATACTTACACTGATGACTCCCAAATGCATCTTTCTAGTGCAGACCTCTCCTCCAAGCTCCATGTCCATATAAAGTCTGGGGCAAAAGTAGCTTTACAGTTGTGAGTACATTAAAAACGGAGCTTATTCTTATATGATTTATTAATTATTGTGTTATTTTCTATACGAACAACTGTAAACCTATTTTTGCCCCACTCTCCATTTAACTGCCTACTTCACATCTCCTCTCCAAGTTTCACAGGCACCTTAATTTCCACAGGAACTAAACTGAATCCATGATCTGCCTTCCTCAAACCTGGCCCTCTTCCAGTGTTCCTTAGCTCAGTTTCTCAAAGCAAAACTCAAGGAGTCATCTGACACTTTCCTGTACTCAGCATCACCAAAGACAATCACCAAATCCTACACATTCTACCTCCTCAGTCTCTCTCATGTTAATTGACAGTAGACCATCGGCATTAATACCACACTAGTAATCCAGGCCACAGTCACTTTCTGTCTAGCATATGTTAATAGATACCTAACTATTATTCACAAATAGTTCTTGCTCCCTTTCAATCACCTATGTTCAAAACTGAGTCTCTAAAAACATATTAGATTACACCCTTTTATGGCTTCTCATTGGTCCCAGAATAAGGTCCAAAATCCTTAACATTTTATGCAGGTCCTAATGATCTGACTCCTGCTTACTCTTTGACTTCATCTCCTGCCATTCTCTTCCTCACTGCTGTGTTCCATTCACACCAGCTTGACTTGATGACCATGCAAGCACCATTCTGCTTCCTTTCACAAACTGACCCCACTGCCTGGGAAGTCTTCCCCCCTCACCTCCCTTCCCAACTCCTTTGATTATCTCTCTCCTATTCATCCTTCAGGTTTTAGCCTTAGTGTTGCTGGAGCCCTCTCCTAAATTAAGTAATGTCTCCTGTTATTAAGTTTCAAGACTCCTTTAACTTTTCCTTCACAGGACTCACTACAATTAACTAAATATTTATGTAATTATTTGTTAATGTCTGACTTCCCCCACTAGACTATAAGCTACGGGAAGGCAGGAACTTTATCAATCTTGTTCACTACAATAGCCCTGGTACCTGACAAAGTACCTGACACATGGCTGGACTCAATAAAGATTTGTGGAAAGAATAAATGACTGAATAAACAAATAGGCAAAAAATATTTATTGAAGGAATGAACTAAGGCTAAGCCAGGACTCAAATCTAAAGAATGCTACAAGAGTGCATGTATAGCAAAAGAGAAAGATGAATTCCTGAACTGGCATTTGGATGGTATCGAGATTGCAACTGAAGTTATGATGTAAGTGGAGGCTAAAGTGAATTTCTTGCTCTCTTATTACTTAACTAGAAATAGACCATAGATATTGACTGAACACAATGAAAAATATCAAATTAAAAGGTTACATTTGAAATAGTAACAGGTTATTTTGAATCTAGTCGCAAAATCATCTCACTATTTTAACTCTAACTTCTCTGCTAAAACAAAGTGAGCTGTCCAAAGCTAGAGATCACTGGCAAAGCTAATAGTAGTGCCAAACCCCAACTGCGATTCTAATTCTCCTTCTACCTGCTCTGCCTTTAAGGTATTTTCCTCAGATCACAAACTAAAGTTGAACAAAAGAAAGTACTTTATCCGTCCATTGTTTCACAAGTCTCAAATGACACTTCCTACTTTGTAGAATTGCACTTCTATTGCTCAGTGGTTACCAAATTTTAATATGAGAGAGTAAAATAAGTAATTTACAATCCACATAAATAAATACATTTGGAAATCACTGAACAGACTTTTAGGTAACTCTTATTCTGGGAAAACAATATCGTCTCTACCATGCATAAACTTACAATTTGAAAAACTAGTCATGTGACAGAAAATATGAAAAAAAAATAGTACAACCTGATGTTATAAAAGACTTTTACTCTTCTCAAGAAAGAGGATAAGTTTTTAAGTATTATTTATTTAATTAAGAAGCAAGTGCAAATCTAATATGTACAGTAAGTGATGATGGTACAAGTATTAATAGAGATAGGGGAATCTATAATTAAAAGTATATTAAAATTTAACCATGAGGTCCACAAATCCTACCCAAACAAACAAGAGAAAGATGACCTTTTGAAATGCCACTTTTAGCTACAAAGAAAAAAACTTTGTTGTCCCCTCATTCCAGTAATTAGGAACTATCTCCCATGAGCTTATAAACTACATAAATTTTCACATATGTTCTCATTAGAAGACTAACTCTGGTGTAAGAGTCAGTATTTTTGAGGTACTCATCTCTATTTTTGTTTTTGCCTCATCTCAAATAAGAGTTTAAATGAGATGAAGAATAATATAAAAATAAAAATAATAACCAAATCATAATTTAAAAATATAATATACCGTTTGCATCCGTGGGGCACAGGCCCTGCTGACCACACACAGAAGTTCATGGACACCTCGATAACTAAGGCCAGTGATCTTCATTAGCTCCAATGGGGAAAGACACAAAAAGTCCTAAAGAAAAAGGTGGACATATGTAATACTTTCAACAATAAAGATTTTTTTTTATAAAAAGTCCTAATGAGACATAAAATATTTTAAACATATATGTAACAAAGATAATGGAATTAAAAGGAAAATTTCAAATGATACTGTCCATGTGTAGAAAAAAATGGAATTTATTGCAGATCAAAGATTTATGTGCTCCTTATAGTACTTTCCCTTCAAAATATGCCTTAACTAAAACATATGATAGTCTTAACTTGTAATTATTCTATTTATTTGGCATATGCCAAAGGACTCACTGAGTAACATCACATAGCAGCCGCATCCAACCCACATGTGTATGAACACTGCACTAGTACCTGAAAAGTTTGGGCACAAATATCCAGAAAGTGTCAGGTGGAAATGTGTTTCTTCCTAAGCTACATGAGATCATTCAGAGGAAGTACTTGATAATTGACAGAGAACAAAACTGACTATGAAATGAAATGTTAAATTTCATACTTTTAAGGGTGTTTCAAAATATGAACATGGGGACTACTAAATGTATAACAGAAGAACCAAAAAGATCTTTAACACACGGAGCAATATCTTACAATTACAACATATTCTGAAAGTCTGTCTTATTAAGGATTAAATCCTAATCTAAAACCTTAAATCTCATTTAACCCAAAAGAGATTTGCTTCACTATTTAGAGCTTAAAAATGCAACATCTTCTCTATACACTTTCTCATTCCATCAATAGGAAAATGATCCTAATTATTAATTTCTCTTGCTTTCAAGAGGAATTATCCATTTTGAATACCACTTCCTCATTCAAGTCATATTTCTTGTGTAATTACAAAAATTTCTTTTAAGTAGGTGAAACTTCTCTTAAATCCCCAAATAAAGGCACAGGTGTACTTCACCTCATGCCAGAGCATCCTTCTCCCCAAAAATGTAAAAATATTAAACCTGGATAAATGAAATCATACTTGGAAGCATAACCTAAATAGCTCACCATTTAAAATTAGTCTACAGAGAAACACCATCACTTATCCTTTTCATTCTATAAACGTAAGTTTTTATATTTCAGGTTTACTTAAGAGTTATTATGGTATAGTTAAAATTAATTTGTACTTAATATTTCTCATTGAAAAAAATTAAATAAATTTTACCTGACAGGTGACAATCTGGTGTCTGTTCAGACGGTCACATAGCTCTTGTGACAAACCCACTCGTCTTAGTTTCTTGCTACCCATGACTCCAGATGTGGGGGGGTAGGGGAAACACACCTTAAAAAAAATCAGAAAATAGCATAAGCAATAATAAATGGCTACTTTCTAAAACACTCTACGCAATAAAAAAAAAATATTCAAATTTTTCCATGTGCATAGTGAAATATATAGTATTTAAAATATTACTGATAAAATAAAGGAAGGCATACATACACACAGAGAAGCATATACTAGTACACAGAGAAACAAGGCAAGATAAGAATATACAGTTCACACCATTCTTTGATAGTTATTACATGAATATAATAATTCCACTTGACATTTGTAAAGCATCTTGAGGTTTTCAATGCATTTATAAATTTGGATGTATAAATAACCTTCAAGACATATTTCAAAACCACTCCTAGAAAGTCTTTACTTTCATTGGATTGTAATAATAAATTAATTGAGCATCTACTATGCCAGGCACGGTTGCTATACATAAATTATCACACTTAATCTTCTCAACAGCCCTATAAGAAAGGTTATGGGCCCCATTTTTGCATATGAGAAAGCAAAAGCCTAGACAGTTTAGCTATTCTATTATCACCAGAAAAAGTAAATGGTAGTTCCAGACTTCAAACCCAGGAAGTCTGACTCTGAGGTCTATCCTCCTAACCTTTGTACTCTACTGCAAGTCCATGATCATATTTAACTTCTTTTTCTATGAGACTAAGCAAATCTTCTAAATCAAAGGAGATTCTATTATTCCAGATGTTATTTACAAGCTGAATTGTTGTTTAGTATACTCGCTTCCCACATTCCCACACTGTACTAGCTGACCACACTCCCATATATTAGGTGCTAGAATAGAATCACTGTGATTCCCTTAATAATGTATGCAAAGGAAAGGCTGTGTATCTCACTGAGATGGCAAAGTAGTCTCAGGTTAGAATAGAAACAGGAAATCTTCATTGTTCCAGGGGATAAAGCAGTGCAATTATCATAAAAGTAAAATTTTGAAACAAAATATATACTGAGAATGTGGGTATTTCTTTTCAATACCATGACCCAAATTTCTATCTCAATTCTCTGAATCAGATTGTCTCTGTGTATCAGATTAAATCCCTCTCTCTCTCTCTCTCTCTCTCTCTCACACACACACACACACACACACACACACCCTTCCCACAAACAGACTACATCCCTCTCGATTCTCTTAATGGGAACATGTCAGTACTCATTTCTGTTTCCCCAGTAGGAATTTTACTAAGTGACATGTGCTATGTCATTGCTAGTGTCTTTACAGATCAGGTAGTTCTGGGGAAGGACACCATTTAGACTGATAAATTCAATAAAAAAGGAGGACAGTAAACCCCAAACTACCTGGACTTTAACAATGACCAGCCCTGGCCAGTGTGGCTCTGTTGGGGATCCTGTGTTGTACTGAAGGGTTGCTGGTTCAATTTCTGGTCATGGCACATGCCTGTGTTTCAGGCTCGGTCCCTGGTGGAGGGTGTGCAAGAAGCAATCCATCAATGTTTTACTATCTCATCAATGGATTTTTCTCTCTCTCTTCCTCTCCCTTGCTCTCTAAAAATCAGTTAAAAATCTTAAAAAACACACACAGCCCTAGCCGGTTTGGCTCAGTGGATAGAGCATCGCCCTCTGGACCAAAGGGTCCCGGGTTCGATTCCTGTCAGGGCATATGCCTCGGTTGCGGGCTCAATCCCCAATAGGGGCCTTGCAGGAGGCAGCCAATCAATGATTCTCTCTCATCATTGATGTTCCTGTCTCTCTTCCTCTCCCTTCCTCTCTGAAATCAATAAAAATACTTAAACACACATACACACAAGAAAAAACAATGACCAACTCTGTTGTCTCTGCCTTTATTAGGGCCACTCCCATCAGTTGCCTGGACTATTGCATGTTGCTTCTGGTCACTCACTGCCTCCCACACACATGCAAAATCCATTCATTTGCTCCTTTTACAGGCACTCTTTATTTTATTTTACTTCATTTTTTTAATCCTCAGCCAAGGATATGTCTACTGATTTCTATAGAGAGGTGCAGAGAGAAACATCCATCCCCGCTCCAAAGCATACAAACACACACACACACACACACACACACACACACACACCAGGATTTGAACCCGAAGCCCTTAGGTGCATGTGACCATGCTCCAACCAACTAAGCCACACACCAGGGCCACAGGCACTTTTTAAGCACACACTCGACTAAGTTCTGGGATACAAGACTCATTTAAGCATATTCCCTCCCCTTTGGCAACTTACAGTAAAAAATGAAAAGAAATGTATACAAAAATAACTAGTCATGCAATAAGTATTGCCATTGGAATTTAAATGTGTTGTGGACAAGGAGGCACACCAAACTGGCCTGCAAAGTAGCTTCCTAAAAAGTTGCTCCAATCCTGTAAAACTGCCCATGGAACCATTAGCCTACAGGGTAAGTTCCACAGGATTAAGACCCTTCATCGATTGATTCCTCCTTTCCCACTATTTCCTACATCAGACTGCAAGGCCCAAATCCTGACCTTCCTTGCAAAGTTACTTCACCTCCCGCTGTCTTAGTTTATCCATCTGTAAAACGAGGGTAATTCAAGTATCTACTCCATAGGAATGTAATGAAGGTTAAAGGATTGCACATAATGCTCAAGGTTAACCATCACTATCCGTTTGTTCAGCAAAACATCATTTGCTGCCTCACATCACCAGCTCTCCAGCCACAACAGTATATTGGTAGGTTAGGCAATCACAGCCATCCTGCCTCCCTGACTTGCCTCCACAAAGCTTTAACCCCACTCAGCCTCTTCTTCTCCAATGTTCTCATTATTGTACATCTATTTGCCCGATAAGTAAAGTTTTATTATGGCTTGCATGTTTGATTCTTCCGCCAGAGACTGTAAGTTCCTGCTCTGTACGTGTGTACATACGCCCATGTGAATGGGAAATGGAAGATACGCAAGCCTGGAGATTGACTCCTCTCCTCATTGAAAGAACACTCCTCCTGTTAGATGTTCAATGAAAACTGTGAAATAACAATAGCTAATACTTATTGAGCCCTTATTACGCCCACTACACCGTTCCAAGCGCTTCGGATATTTTACCCCAGTTCACAGATGAAAGACACGGAGGCCCTGAGTTGAAAACGTCCGCATTCGAATCCAGGGATCTGACTCCAGATTCCACGCTATTATCTACCTGAAGACGGGCAGGCCCTCAACTTCCCCCAAACACGGGCTCCCCTGTCTAGACCCCCCAAACTTCCCGGAAGTAAAAGTGAGGGGATGGACATCAAGAGGCACAAACAACACCGCAGAATCCTCTAAAAAGAACTGTTTCAACAAGGCCAGCTTCCTTGCAAACCTACAAAAGAAGCTCCCAGATCCGCGACAGGGTTCACGTTAAGATCCCTACCGACTGAAGGGGGCGTGCCCTGCACCCAAGAAAGATTCTCCAATATGAATACCACAGGCCCAGAGAAGGAGCGCACCCCACTTCCCCACAACGGCCCCCAAGATGAAACTTTCCAGTACCGGGTCTGCAGCATCCAACTTTCAAAGTTTCCCCCACCCATCATTCAGTTCCCCGCGGAAAATGCTGCAAAGCAACAAGCTAAGCGCTGGTTGGGTCGTCGTCCTGGGAACTATCCAATCAGAGGCAGGCAGAGCCAGGTCGGCCCCGCGGCTTGCTGGGAGTTGTAGTTCACACTCGGAAATAAATTTGCCAGTTTCTCAGTCTAGTAGTGGTTATCAAAATGCGGTGGAGGAACATAAGCAAAGAGTGTATAAAACCAGGATAAACCTTGCTAGATGTGTTCTTTATTTTGTCACTACAATGAAAAATTGCTTAATGGATCCGAGACTAGGTTAGTTTTCGGGAAATCCCTCTATCATAGGAGAGGTTTTGGAAGAAGCTTCCGGTTTGTTTTGGCTTGCTTTTTTCATCACTCTGTGGTAGTGATTATAGATTGGGCAATGCTAAATAAAATTGCTCCAGCCGTTACTTCCTCAGGTTCCGATTATTACATCTGCGAAGAACTTTTGCTCATCCTTTGCATGCCTCTATTTTATAATGTAGCCCATTTTACCCTAATTATTGCCCTGCGCCCATCACTAAACTGAGCTCCTTGAGGACCGGAACCACAACTTGTTCCGCTTCGAAAGGCTAGCACACCGCTCAATTAACGGTTGTCGGGTAAATAAGCAAATAAATGAATAGAGTTAAACAGAAGAAAATGGGACTTCGGAACGCAGGGTTCTGGGATTATAAATGAACCCAAGTATACAGAATAAAAATGGAAGGGGATTGATTCTGGTCTCGCTCTGGGTAACCCCCCAAGGCTTGGCAAAGCACTGATTGGAGCTCAGTAACCGCTGATTTCAAACGCTAGGAAGAGGGCGGCAGAACAAAATCAAGGAAGACAGCTGTTTCTGCCGCCCGCCTCGCCGAACGCAGAACGGAAGGCGTCGCGCAGAGGAATTGTCAAAACTAAAAGGAATGTTCCTTAGCCAGGTGGCCGAGGGACTCTCCCCCAAGCCTCCGAGCTTCCTAGTTCCTAGAGGTGGCGTCACGTGACCCAAACAAGTATGGCGCTTTATTTGCATCTTCCCTCCATTGGCCAATAGGAGTGGCCGCCGTCCATCGTCAGCCCCGCCTTCGCCTCGCGAGCTCCACATGGGACCTGTCACCTGACTCGACTGAAACATGGCTGCGCGGGGGGCACTGTCGCTGTGGGCACCGGGAGCAGGTGAGTGTGAGGCGCCCCAGAGAAGGCGGGAGCGCTCTCCAACACCCCTGCAGGGGGCGTCCCTGCGCCCCAACCCCACCGCCCTCCAGGTCGGGCACCGAGTCACCTCGGGACCCTCAATCCGCTGCCTCACGGGAGGGCTCCAACGAGGGAGGGTCCTTCTGAATTTCCCGTCCTTAGGGGGCGACCACCTGGGGCTTGGGAGCCGGACTGCGAATAAAGTTCCGGAGGGGGCTGCGAACGTGGAGTTCAGGGCTGCACCTCGGACTGATACGACCGTTCATATTAATTGAATGTCAGATGCTCGTAGAGAGATGAGATCCGACCCTTGGGGAAAGGTGTAACTCCTCAAAGACGGCAGGAACATGTCAAAGCCATCTTACCATGATGATGAGGAAAGTCAGTCCCGCCATTCCCCGTCGGGCTGGTAGTTACTAATTGTCTAAATACAACGCCGTCCGTTTCCTCTCACTCTGGTGTGTACTGTCCCTAGGAGGTGATCCACGGAGGAGAAAATTGACCATGTGTTCTGTGTAATTCATCCCTTCCTGTCTCCCTGCACTCTGTGCTGGGAAAATGCATCATCCGTTCGGAAAAGAGGAAACCGCTTCCCAAAGGGAGCTGTTTGGGTTTTTCTGTGAGTGCCTGCAGCGGGGAGAGTGGGAGCTGGCACAGGCCTGTGTGCCTCAGCTACACGCGGCGCAAGGGGACATCCCCAAGCAGGTGGAGGACATTCTACGGGCGCTGGTGGCGTGTCCCCATCAGCTGAGGTAAGGGATCCGAGCCCTGGCAGGCAGTCACGGGGCAGGGGACACAAGGGTCAGTGTTTGGGCTCGGGTCCATGAGCCTCACTCCGCTACTCCCTGAAGAATTAGCAGAGGGGGGAGTGTATTTCACATGCTCTGAAATTTTACCTCTGTAATACTTACCTATCACCTAATTAATATTGGCTTTGAATTAGCACTTGGAACTGTGTTTAAGCCTGGTCAGCAAATTATATATGGAACCACCATTTCTTGTTTATTATCATTAAAGTAGATGGTGGGGCTACGTTGAAAAGCATTTTCTCTGCCTCCAAAAACAAACAAACCCTACTCTCTTCTGACTTATGAAATTGAAGTGAATTCACTTCAAAACTACTGGAAGTGAATTCACTTAAAGCTTTTTTTTTTTAATAAATATACTCCCAACAAGCGCAAAAATAATACAAAAAGTACCCTTTCAATAGCTTCCCCCAGTTGTGACATCTCATAATAATACAATAGCAAAACCAGGAAATTAATACAGGTAATTACTGTTAACTAGATTATTCAGTTTTCACCAGGATTTAATCTGGGTTCATTTTTATGTGTGTAGTTCTATGCAACTTTATTCATGTGTATATTCATGTCAAGATACACAACTATTTCATCACCACAAAAGAATTCCCTTACTTCCTGTAGTCAAAATACACAACTGTTTCATCATACCTCTCTGTATTTTGATCTCTCCTTGCCCCCTGACAACCACTGCTATCTATCTAAATATTTAATGAAATTCTTTCTGACAGTGCTAATAACTAATGGTATAGGAACTAAATGTACTATTCAGTTTCTCCCTCAATTTTCATTACTTTGGCAATTACGTTATGTTGTTTAAGTACTGTATTAACATCCAGAGTGGGGCAAAAGTAGGTTTATAGTTGTAAGTATGTGAAACAGAGTCTATACCCGTATTATTTATTAATTGTATTATTTTCCATATGAACAACTATAAGCCTACCTTTGTCCCACCCTGTATAGAGTGGAGACTTAGGTGACTTTTCTTCCTTTAATTTTTCCCCCTTAAATTTGTGTTCCAGCCTGTTACTAATTTATATTACTAACTTCAAAGAAAGGCTTACGAATTCCTATAACCCTCTTTGTAGCATACAGTTAAAAATAAATTTTTGTCGAGTTCCTTTTTTTCTTTAAGACTACTTGATTCGGTTTCTATTTTCAAGAATATACTTTAGATAGCTCTGCTTTTATGGTTTTCTATGTAATATTTTGTTTAAAAATAATAAAGACTAGATAGGGAGGTGGAGGTAGGATTAAGACCTTTTTTTTTTCTTTTTTCTGAAAGCTGCTAGCTCTATTCTGATCCTAGTTTTATTGATCTGTCATGTACATTTGAAAATTTTCTCATGAGAACATCTTGCCTGTTCAGGTTGAAAATAGACTGAGCATTGAAATCTAAATCTTGGATGGCAAAAGAGGAAAACGTCAGTAGAAATTCTTTGTTTAGAAATTCTTTCTCTTTACATTTTTCAGATGTGGACCAGACATCAACCCTCAGAGATTAGCCTGGGTCTGGCTTCTTGTACTGGAGAAGTGGTTTGCCCAAGAAAAAGTAAGTAGGTTTCTATTTCAAATTTTCTCCTGAGGCCGAGACAGGGAACAGTTTGGCAGTAGTTATGAGATTTCCCCTCTGACTGTTACTTCCTTTATTATGAGGTTTGTAATATCCTCTCTCGGTACTGATAGTGAGAATGGCTCACATTTTTATTGATGTCTTCTTACCCAAATTCATTCATTAATTCACTAACATAACATTAGCATGTAATACCATTTGAAGTGATACCATTCTGCTAAACACCATCATGAGAGCTGTGCCTGAACAGAGCTTTGCAGATCTTAGTGAGAGTGGCAAGGTAGGGAGTAGGGAGTGACATAGGACTCTCATAATACCCAAGTAATGGAGAATGGGCCGGGCTGAAACTTGTTTGTTCTTCCAAAAATCTCATTTTCACTAGTCCTGTGCAGTGAAATCTTGTAGGTTTAAACTTCATTAATTAATAAGTTAGTAATGAACATGAATTGAATGATAACTTACCAAATATAAAAACAAAGTGAGCAAATTAATCCTGAAGAAATTGTGAGGAAGTGCTTTTTTTTCCCCCAAAAGAAAAATTGCCATGAAAAGCCTTTTTATTTTTTTAACTTTAACTTTATTGGTTTTAGAGGAAGAGAGAGAGAGAGAGAGAGAGAGAGAGAGAGAGAGAGAGAGAGAGAAAGAGAGAGAAAGAGAGAAAGAGAAGAGATATCAATTGGTTGCCTCCAGTACATCCTGACTGGTGATGGGAACTGCAACCTGAGTATATTCCCTGACCAGGAATCGAACCCCCGCCACCTTCTGGTGTACCATACTACACTCTAACCAACTGAGCCACTCTGGCCAGAGCAAAAAGACTTTTTAGAAGTATGTAATAATTATCAGAAATTGATATCCATGAGTCAACCTTGGACCTAGGAATCAACCTTGGAATTCGGTCCATTCTCATGGAAAGATTAACAACCTTGCTGCCCAAACAATGGAGTCCCACCCCAACCTCCTACTTCCCCATGCCTTTAATTCCTACTCCCCCATACCTATAACCCATATTTTCCTGTGTAATCGTTGTCCTACTATATATAAGCAGATGGCTTATGGGGGGCTGCAGAGCAGATTTTGTGGATGACCTGCTGCTCTCCCATACTGCTGGCAGTATTGGAATAAACGTGCATATATGACTCAAAAAAAAGAAAGAAATTTATATCCATTAAAGGTATTTCTCTGAGGCAATTTTTATTAAACCTCAGACTTTAAGATTTAAGTGAGGAACCTCTGATTCAGAAGAGAAATGACTGGCCCAAGGTCATACCAATAAGCTGGCAAAATTAGAGGTGGAACCAAGATCTTCTGACTTTGAATTCCCATTCCTCTGCTTTTTCCACCTCAATATTAGTTTTAGCCTTCATGGACTTAAAAGTAGGAAACTATAAGTTCTATTTTATAAATATCTATAATTTAACCTAATTTTCTTCTTTACTCCCATCAGTCATCAGAATTT